TCCAGATGCCCCCTTTTGACCCCAAGGTTTGCACATTGGGTTCTTCTGCTCTCGCCTAGGGATAAGACCATATGTGTTTATTATCTTGACATATGATACCAAGGCTTTAGAAGGTACAGCATTAAAAAAGTGAGGGAAACAGTGCCACCATGTGGTTATTAGTGGGTACTCCTACAACAAATCTATATGTAATGTGTACCAGGAGTAGTAGTCAGGCAGCTTTATTATGGTTTGACACCCTACCGGTTTCACACAGGGTACCTGCAGCAGCAGGCTCTGCTTCCTGTCTCCTCCTTTAGGAGATGCCTCACTTGCAGGGAAAGACTGGATGTAGTGTGACCACTTTGGGGTAAGGTAAGTTGTCAGACCGCACAGGGTACAAATCATAAAAATACAAACTGATTTCATGTACATTAAAGTATTCACATTTAAATATAATACTGCTGCAAATTAGGGGAAAAAAGTGTATTTCACAAATGTCAAAATTCTGTGGCACAACTGTATATGTGTATGTGAACACATCTTATTGCCGAGAAATCTAATTTTACATTTACACTACAAGTCAACCATATGTCCCAGAGATTTACAGGTCATCATTTTTAAGTCACTGCGAAGTACGCTTAATACAATAAATAAATATAAATATGACAAGAATAATAGCACTCATATACATAGTGTACAACTAAGTGTAACAACAGCCTTGGCCTAAAATACCATCAGACCTCCGATATATTCAACACTTGGGTCGCAGGTTCAAATCTCGGCAGGGTTGACTCAGCCCTTCATCCTTCCGAGGTAGATAAAATGAGTACCATTAAATTGGTAAAAGTAACACCCGTAGGACGTACTTGAAAACCAGAGCAATCTGAATGTACCTTTTCTGTTCCATTGAAACCTCCACTGTGGAGCACCTTGAGGATGCTTTAATGAGGCAAATGTGTCAAGCTTTTAAATTCTGCCACAAGCACCTTGGACAAAGAACAACCTCTAAATACTGAAAGGGACTTCACCAAAAACTAGACCCTAAGAACCCACTATGGAAGCTTGGAGGGAATCATTGAGAACAGAGTAGACAATATCCACTGATCAGTCACAACAATAAAGCCACCTACCTAATATTGTGTAAGTCCCCCTCATGCTGGCAAAATAGCTCTGATGAGTCGAGGCATGGACTCCACAAGACCTCTGAACGTGTCCTGTGTTATCTGGCACTATACACTAAACATTAGCAAGTCCTGCAAGTTGCTAGGTGGGGCCTTCATGGATCAGATTTGCTTTTCCAGCTCATCCCACAGATTCTCAATCAGTTTGAGATTTGGAGGCCAAGAAAACACCTTAAACACTTTGTCATGGTTCCCAAACCATTCCTGGACATTGTTTGCAGTGTGGCTGGGTACATTATCCTGCTGAAAGAGGCCACTGCCATCAGAGAATACCAATAACATGAAGGGGTGTATGTGGTCTGCAACAATTTTTAGGTAGGTGGTACGTTTCAAAGTAACATCCACATGAATGCCAGGACCCACGGTTCCCAGCAACACATTCCACAGATAAAAACACTGCTTTCACTGGCCTGCTTTCATCCCATAGTGCTTCCTGATGCCATCTCTTCCACAGGTAAATTACTCACACACACCTGGCCATGCACCTGATCTAAAAGAAAACATTATTCATCAGACCAAGCATTACTCAAAGGACCAGTTCAGACGTGCATATTTTCTTTAAAGACGCTTTCAGCAGTGTACATGGATCATAGTAGGCACTCTGCTGGGTCTACAGCTACACACCTAGCAAATTGTGATGCATTGTGTGTTCTGCCACCTTTCTATCATGGCCAACATTGAGTTTTCATCGATTTGAGCTACAGTACCTCTTCCCCACAGCTTACAGTTCCCCACATTCATCAATGAGTCTTGGGCACACATGAACCTGACATTGGTTTATTGGTTGTCCTTACTTGCACATAGTATGGTAGGCACTAACCACAGCACACAGGGAGCACCCCAACACCTGCTATTTTGGAGATGCTGTGACCCAGTCGTCTAGCCATCACTATTTGGCCCTTGTCACTCAGATATTTTCACTTGACCAATTTTTCTGCTTTCAAGACATGAAATTCATGAACTGACTGTTCACTTGCTGCCTAATATATCCGATATACTCAATGTTATTCATTTAACCTGTCAGTGGTTTTAATGTTGTGGCTGATAATGTATATTGGAGATCTAAAGGACTTTTAGGCCTAGGCAGTTTTTAGTTGTGCTATATGTTTGTGAGTACCATACTTTTTATTCCTTATGGTTATTTATTTTATTGTATTAAACATATTTTGTTAGCTGTTGCAGTTACTATATTCTATATTTCTCTCTCTATAACACAGGGTACACCACCGTACCCAAACCTTAAACCCATATCATTCCTGTGGGGTTAAAGATGAAGATTCGTTTTAAGGTTACTGTCCAGAGCATACTGACAGGATAATTATGGCTACACGGTTACAGAAAATTTTGATGACAGACTGCCTTTGAGTTTCAAATTTGACTTGGAGGTATATTACATTTCACATAATTGTGGTAAGTTTGTGGGAAAGGGTGATTATTGACAGCCCTTGGTAGTATCATTGGAACCTACATCTGTCAATGTTTAAAACATACATCTGTCAATGTAGTACAATAACCTTAAAATGTATGCTAGCTAACGTCATTATGCTGGTAAAAGAGGCGTTTTAAAAATGTTTATTTTTTTCCTTATTGTGCTTTTTAGATTTTAGCAATGTGAGAACATTATACTTTTTGTATGTTGTGTTGTTATATATTTTGAACGAGCTGCAGATGTTTAGGAATGTTTATTTACTAAATTAAAGATTGGGGAGAAATGGAAAAAAAAATATAACTTTTACCGTTTTAGCTCTCTCTTCTTTTTACCATATAGTAAATAGAGTTGAGCAGACACCTGGATGTTCAGGTTCGCCGAGTTCGGCCGAACTTCGTCAAAAAGTTCGAGTTCGAACTTGGCCCCGAACCCAATTGAAGTCAATGGGGACCCGAACTTTTGGGCACTAAAATGGCTCTAAAAAAGTCCTGGAAAGGGCTAGAGGGCTGCAAAAGGAAGTAAAATGGGGGTAAGAGTAGGACAAGTGCCCTGCAAACAAATGTGGATAGGGAAATAACTTAAAATAACATAAAATACATAAAAATGTAAAATAATAATCTTGAACTAGGAGGAGGAGGTGGATGTGGAGTAGGAGGTTGAGGAGGTGGTGACCGTGGCGGTGTAGGTGGAAGCAGCGGTGGAGGCAGAGGAGGTAGCCAGCACTATTTTTATTTGTTTGTTTTTTTAATTGGGGTATCCCCCAAAATATTGGGACATATAAAAAAAGAAACATTTGTGGCCTGCGGTGCATTTCTTGCAATCCAATAGTGCCATCAGGTTTTTAAAACTGTCCGTCTCCACCAATGACGGAATGACAGCATTTCAAAGGCCAGGAATTTTGAAATGCTGGTATTCAGGGCCAGGTCGGGGGGTACTTCTTCTTTCTCTCCAGTGTTTGGGAGATGGACAGCTGAACGCTTCCATGGGACAGTGAAGAGATGCTTTGGGACGGTGGCGGACGTGGTGGCGTTGCTGCCACATCCTCTCTTTGCGGGGTGGAGGAAGAGGGCGAGACAGCAGCAGAAGAGGCAGCAGGAGGAGCCTGAGACCTTTCTTGGTTTTTGAGGTGCTTACTCCACTGCAGCTCGTGCTTTGCATGTAGATGCCTGGTCATGCAGGTTGTGCTCAGGTTTAGAACGTTTATGCCTCGCTTCAGGCTCTGATTGCACAGCGTGCAAACCACTAGTGTCTTGTAGTCTTGCTCTAGGAGGAGGAGGTGGATGTGGAGTAGGAGGTTGAGGAGGCGGTGACCGTGGCGGTGTAGGTGGAAGTGGCGGTGGAGGAGGTAGCCAACACTGTTTTCTATTTGTTTGTTTTTTTGTTTGGTTTTTTTTTTAAATTGGGGTAGCCCCCAAAATATTGGGACATATAAAAAAAGAAAACAAAGAATAAGTGCACTTGAGTATAACAATGGCTGGGTGAGGCCAATATAAATGTCTATTCTGCACAAGGTACAGACAAGTCTGGTGGGATGCATGCCTGGTTCATTTTTAATAAACGTGAGCATGTCCACGTTGGCTGTGGACAGGCAGCTGCGCTTGTCTGTGATAACACCCCCTGCTGTGCTAAACACACGTTCAGACAATTCACTGGCTGCAGGGCAGGCCTGCACCTCCAAGGCATAAAGGGCAAGCTCAGGCCATGTGCCCAATTTGGAGACCCAGAAGTTGAATGGGGCAGACCCATCAGTCAGTACGTGTAGGCGTGTGCACATGTACTGTTCCACCATGTTGCTGAAATGCTGCCTCCTGTTAAGACATTCCATATCAGCTGGTGGTGCTGGTTGTTGTGGCGTGCTGACAAAGCTTTTCCACATTTCGGCCATGCTAACCCTGCATTGTGAGGTGCTGGCGGTGCCCCAGCTGCGTTGGCGACCTCTTCCTCCTCCTCTGCCTTCGCCTTGTGCTTCCACTGAGCCCCCGGTGTCAGTTGGGAATGCCCTCAGTAGCGCGTCTACCAGCGTGTGCTGGTAGTCGCGCATCTTCCAATCACGCTCCAGTGAGGGAATTAAGGACGGCATGTTGTCCTTGTAACGTCGATCCAGCAGGGTGGCCACCCAGTATTCAGCACAAGTTAGAATGTGGGCAACTCAGCAGTTGTTGCGCAGGCACTTTGGTGACTCTAGATAACCTTGGGCCGATCGCACGTCCCCGAGACGGCGACGACGCATTCGGATGTCTGCCTTATTAACTTTCGATGTTACTTTCTGTGCCTACCATGGTGACCACGGGTAACAGGGAATCAGGGTTCGATTCCAGAGAGGGAGCCTGAGAAACAGCTACCACATCCAAGGAAGGCAGCAGGCGCGCAAATTACCCACTCCTGACGCGGGGAGGTAGTGACGATAAATACCAATACAGGACTCTTTCGAGGCCCTGTAATTGGAATGAGTACACTTTAAATCCTTTAACGAGGATCTGTTGGAGGGCAAGTCTGGTGCAGAGCGACTGACCCGTGCGTGCTGCAGCTGAAACTCCACTATCGCCTGCTGCTGCTCGCACAGTCTCTCCAACATGTGCAAGGTGGAGTTCCACCTTGTGGGCACGTCGCATATGAGGCGGTGAGCGTGAAGGCTGAAGTTATGCTGCAGCGCAGACAGGTGAGCAGCAGCAGGGTGAGAACGCTGAAAGCGCACACAGCCGCTACAATGAAACTGCGAATGGCTCATTAAATCACTTATGGTTCCTTTGATCGCTCCATCTGTTACTTGGATAACTGTGGGGACGGCCGGTCCGCTTTTGCACCCTGCTCCCTCTTATGCTGTGCTGGTGCCTCTGTGTGACCACTGCCTCTTCCTCCAAACTGCACACGTCACTCGCATGACCTTCATTCCATGTGGGGTCTAGGACCTCATCGTCCTCCACATCATCTTCCACCCACTCCTCAACCCTGCCCTCCTTGCCGGTCTACACTGCAGAAAGCCACAGCAGTTGGCACCTGTGTTTTTCCATCATGTGAAGTCTGCAAAGGACATATGGAAATTGTTTTAGAATTGTATCCAGGCAACAGTTTTCCCTATAAACTGACCTCTCAGTTTGACTTGTGAGGGTATTGCCCCAGAATTACAATATTGTTTAAGGACCTCTTAGCTATTGATAACTGATTTAAATATAGCAGCTTGTTATCTGGTAGTTTCTAGTGTAGAAAATATCAATATGTTTTCTATCACTTAGATCTGTTTAACAAGTGTTGTAGGTGTGAAACAATGTTACAAGTGTCCGATGTAGTAAATTTGAATCAAAGTTCCATTTGCAAAAACAAAATCTTGCCCATCTTCTGTGGGTTATTGCATTTTCAAGATGTAGTCTTATTGTATCACACTAGCCATGCACAGGTAGATTGTCTGGCACGTTGTTTTGGTGTTTGGTTTTTAACTTTGTAGTTGTGTCTTTACACAATATAAAAATTTATATTAATGCTTCTGTATATGAAGCGATCACAATAACACTTATTTTTCACTTAAAAAAAAAAAAATCAGGCTAAACAAAAATTGGTAATTAACAATATGACATCTGAAAAGCACATGAAAGGATGCTGTATGATTTTTTTTTTTTATTTTTTTTTTAAAAGAACACACTACATGAAGGTCCTGTTCACTAGAGTGTGTAGTCAATGTAACCAGTAAAACTGTTTTTACAGCCACTAGCCCATACATATTTTAAAACTTGTTTAATTTTGTTATAGCATGACTTGTAGTCTTGTTTTTAACTTGTCTATAATACATATTTTTGTATGACACTTAGTGTGTTTTTTCATTGATTATTGAATTTTAATGGTCTAAGATAATTAACATGTCAACAGGCAAATGTAACCCGAATGATTTGTCTCAGTCTTGCCTTCTATACTACCTGCACCATAGGCAACATTTATTTGTCTTTAGACTTTCTTGAGAAGCGGTAACTAGCCTGTGTTGCACACATACACCAGATATGAAGTGCACACCCCAAATGTACTATTTAGCACCAAAAAAAGTGAATTTTTAAAACTGCGATGTAACCACAGTATTTGACGGTTCTATTTGACTCTCAGATATGAAGTGCACCGCAGGCCGCAAATGTACTATTTAGCACCCAAAAAAATTAGAAATTTTCAAAGTGCGATGTAACCACAGTATTTGACGGTTTTATTTGACTCTCAAATATGAAGTGCACACACCAAATGTACTATTTAGCACCCCAAATTTTTTAAAATTTTTAAAACTGCGATGTAACCACAGTATTTGACGGTTATTTTTGACTCTCAGATATGAAGTGCAGGCCCCAACTGTACTATTTAGCACCCCAAAAAATTGAATTTTTAAAACTGCGCTGTAACCACAGTATTTGACGGTTCTATTTGACTCTCAGATATGAAGTGCACCGCAGGCCGCAAATGTACTATTTAGCACAAAAAAGTTAAATTTTTTTTAAACCAACAATGTAACAGTAGTATTTAAGGGTTTTATTGGACTGCAAGAAATGCACCGCAGGCCGCAAATGTTTTATTCAGCACAAAAAAAGTGTGATTTTTTAAACCAACAATGTAACAGTCATATTTAAGGGCTTTATTGGACTGCAACAAATGCAGTACATAAATGTACTTTTTAGCACCAAAAAAATTGCAGTATTTAAAAATGCGTAGATGTTGCCCACTGAGCTACCAGAACAGGATTAAAGTAATGTGCCTGGCACACATGCAGTTGCAAGTGCACTGCACTCTCTGTGGCACTGGGCTCAGGGCAGGGTACAAAAATGTAGTATAACACCCACAAAATCAATGGCTGTAGTTTGCAGATTCAACACCAGAATTCTTTCCTAATCTGTCCCTCACAGCTGCAGCATCCTCTCCCTACACTAATAACAGCTCATGTGACATGCGGCGCTACGTGACTCCAGCTTATATATAGAGGCTGTGTCACATGCTGCACTGGCCAATCACAGCCATGCCATTAGTAGGCATGGCTGTGATGGCTTCTAAGGGCACACAAGTCAAACGCTTGTTGATTGGCTGCCCTGCAGCCTTTCAAAATGCACCATTAAATCACCAAACACCGAACTCCAACCCGAACATACACTGAAATGTCCATGTTACAGTTCGGGTTCGCTCAACTCTAATAGTAAAGGAACAGCAAAACCTAACCAAGATGTCAGCTCAAAACCCATTTTGCCACAAACCCCCCCCCCTTTTTTTGCACATGCTGAGAGCATGGAAAAGATCTGTGATATGGACATAAAAGTGAGCAAACTAGGTGGGTGTTTGCCAAGACTGACAAAAGGTCTGTGCAAAAGTAAAATGATATAAGTCTACCTAGGTCACGGTAAAATACAAGAAAAAGGTTCATTAACACCGAGGTGTGAAGATTCAGCACCTTTGTGTTAAACAGCAGTTTTCTATACCCTGGTGCATTTTTTCACGTTTTAATAAGCATATCAGGTATTTATTTAACCTAAACAAATGTTTTGTGGTTGGTTTCACACATCACCTACTGTCCCTTCCACATCCTGATACAAATAGGATAGTGCAAATTAAAACGTGTAAATGCCAAATTAACATACAGTAAGCAAGGGGGTGGACCGAATGTACCTTGGGAGTTGGGAACTCCTATTTGTTTTTGATTTTTTTGACAAACTATTTAAAAAATGTTTCATGAAAAAACAGAGGACATTACTCATAGCATTCTACCACCACAACAATGGGCTGTAGCTATGTAGTTATGACATCTAGACTGCCCCTTTAGATGTGCTAGTGGCTACTTGAAAAATGTGCCCCATTTTTCAGGAGTGCATCCAACAATACATCTCAGTTGATACAATATGCATTACCTTCCCATTCCACTTTCTTACCTTTGTATAAAAACTGAGTCAAAATAGTTGAAAGTCAGGAATAAGCTAGGATTCGTGGATGGGAAACCAGGACTAGAACAACTCAAGGTCAGTTGTGTCTGATACACAGGAGTTTAACAAGGTCAGGATCAAGACAAGCTGGGTCAGTAACCGGAAATTAGGAACGATGTGTAAATGCCCTTACTGGCTATCAGAAAGTACTGGATATAATATGACAGAGGTATATAGGTTTAGACATGTGTCAAAATTGTGCAGGTTCTCTACGAAAAACAGCATGCCAAGAACATTTTTATAAACAGGCGCAGAGAATGCAGCTTGTATCATTTAACTTAGTTCAGGGCCAGAATGACCTAGTAAAAATAAAACTGCGTAAAATATGTCTCCACAGCAGCTAAACTGATGCACCAGCATCAAAATTGGAGCAAGTACTGTCAGTCATGTTGAGTGTATTGGGCAAAAACTATGAAGCATTAACACATATTCAGCTGGTATTGTGGCTTTATTGAGGCGTTAGCGTCAGTACTGGAGTGAGAAACAGGTGCCTGGGATAGTGGTTGGATTGACGCTGCTGCCCAAAACTGGAACCCATAACATGGGATTGAGCCAGGAACGTCTGGACAGTTGGCAACTATGTCCAGACATTTGGTAGTGTGCATTTATGTATTTCCTGCCTGCCCAGGCATGTTTCTTCTTATTTCAGTGCTGTTTATTCTTTGCTGTTGGAATGTCAAGTGTATCCTTGAGCAGTGAACTCATTTTGTAGTGGTCTTGACTTTTTAATCATAGCTTGTGGCTTCATTTCTCTACCTGTTCAGCTCTTGACCTCTCATTTCTATCAAGCACACTTTAGCAGCGTCTGCCTTGGAAAGTAGCTTATTTCCACTCCTAATCAATCATTAGAAAATTGAGCTAATTTTCAACCATTATAAATTATCAGGCACTAGATACTCAGACAGTGGTTGATTTATCATTGCTCACACAAAAAAATAAATCAGGATGCATATTCAAAATGTTTAACTTAAAAAAAAAAAATTAAATGTTTCAAGGCTACTTAAAAACAATCCAGGTGCCCGCAGGACATTAGCACAAAGATGGCTATGCCAGGAGGTGCCTCCTATAGCACTAGTTATAGCCAAAATAAAAAACAATTACCTCATGGACAGGCTCACCGCACTGGTCCGAAACACTACTAAAAAGTTTGGCAGAGTCTGGGAACTGTGGGAACAGTACCAAGAGAATGGGGGAGGTAGATCAGGAAACTAAGCTCACCTAGGGGCAAACTAGGCTGGAACAAGATGAACCCAACACAAGATAGGGAAAAAACAGCTACATAAATGTACCGCATTGAAGTTTGTTATCTCTTTTTCTGTTTCAATATGTTAATTTATTAAATTTTGTTTACCAAAGATCTCATTACACGTATAGAGGTGATACTCTGCACTATGGCAAACTCTCCTAAACAAGATACTGCAGATTCCATGTGCCAATTTCGACACATCAGACTATTGTAAGAAATGAAAATACAATGGAATTTACAAACTTGCACTAACTAACCAATCATTTCTTCAATCTGTAACCTTGCAATACCTGAAAAGTACCTGAGCTTCTGCGTAAGCCTAAATGTAATTTTCAATACCGTACTACATCTCAT